TAACGGAATTCAAAAATTTTTTCGCAGAACTATTTCAAATAATAAGTAGATTCGTTCTAGCGAAAAAAAATTTTTGGGGTTAGGTGCACTTTAAATAAATTATGTTATCTTGTCTTATCTAAACCGACGGGCAAGTCCTGTTTTGATCTGAGCAATACTTAATTACTGACAGATGACCTTAAATTTTAACTGACTAGTCTTGATTACTACATCCTGACTGACTACTGACAGATTACTCCCCGTTTTAAGGTGATTCCTCAGAATCCCTACTGTGGACAATTTTCACATCATTAGTGCACACTCACGAGTGCATGCACAGACTCAACATCAAGAGATTTCCCTCAAGCCAGGCTTGACAGCGAAATGTCTCTCAAATAAGCATGGTGACATATTATTTATACAACATAATTTGGGTGCACAAATTATTCTCTTAAAGTTAATTTTTTTTTTTACAAAAATTGTTCGTCACCAGATACGTGTAGTTTTGTTTTTCTAGGTTGACAGAACAAAAGTAAATTGAGAGTACATTTATTGCAAATATTGTACATAGATACATAACTGAAGCTTTTCAATGGTTAATGTTGCTGAGGCTGGTTAATCTCCCGGGAGGAGGGCACTCTACAAAGTTTTATAGGGGGATTCATGGTGACGTGATTGTTTACATTTCTGCTCATTTACATACAGCGTTATGTACAGAAGGAAACATGTTTGATATGAATTGACTCCAAGCGGTTAGAGAGCTAGTGAAACTTAATACATGGTGAAATTTGTAGCTTTTTGGGTGTAAGTATTCAAGGAGAAATTGTCCTTCAAAAACCGTAAAATTTCTGGCTGGCAAAAACCCTAATGAGCTCATACGTTTTTGTAAAAGTTTGGGTTTTTAAACCTGTGTTGCACAAAAAATATTTAATACATCAGGCTCATATTCATTGGCAGAGTTAACCGTACTATGACCTTTCAATATTCAGAACTGTTTTATTTGTAGCTCCATCAGAGACTGAATTGCTTATGCTAATGAGGCAAATATTGTAAACAAGGATTCCCCTATACTGTGAGGCTCTGCCCCCAAGGTCCAACTCCTTACCTTTTTGTATATCATTTTGAAAGAAAAGGCACCCCTTTTGTAATACCTTTAATTGTAAAAAGGTACCCCTTTCACATGATTAATTAAAGGCTCTTTTAAATAATTGAATGACAGATTTCCCTACCCTTTCATATACCTCAGTTTGTGAAATCCCTACCCTTCTATAGACCTGAAGCCTGAAAAAGGTAACCCTTTTTGGATGGAGCCTCCCCATATAAGCTATTATGGGGCGACCCCCCAGGGGTGTTAATCTTCACTCGGGTTACTGTTTAAACAACAACAACAGCAAAAGTGGTTATTGAATCAAATAGTGTCACACTGTTGTCATTAATTGTACTACTGGCGTAATTTCATTATTGGGTTTGAAGCCTGTGTTATTGCCTGCTAACCAGTCTGCAAATTCAACTCTATTCCTCTCTGTTCAAAGAGTAATGAAAATCAGGAAGTACATCAAAACCATTATTAATCTAATAGTTACTGCAAATTAATGTTAAGGTTTTGTGACTCATTACTTTACAAAATCAGTGCATTGTCAAGCAAACAGGTGATGAGAATAAAGAAACCAACAGTACAGGAATTCTGTAGCCAGTGTATATGGGATAGGATGAAGAAAGCTTTATGTGGTTGCAAAGAAATTGCAAATATAATACAAAGCTCAGTGTATGGATTTCAAGCATTCTTTTTTGTTTGCTTTCTTGAAGGATTTCTCTGTGGCCAGAAGATTGAGGGAAGAGAAAGGCAAAGGCAAAGGCAAGACACTGGAGGCAATATTAAGAAGTTAGGACACTAAAGACAGACATACATGAAGCACACAAGGGACCAAAGTAAGAAGGATTGAGAGATTGTTTCAAGCCAAAAAGTAGGGCGTGGATGTTTTCGGTGATGTTTTCCTCACAATTAAATAGAACACGAAGGCTATCAATTAAAAATGACCTGGCTCGGCAAAATAATTTACAGTTAGGTTTTGTAGTAAATTTTTTTTCAGCTTTGCTTTACAAATTTTGATCCATTTTTAATCTTTTTTTGTCTTTGTTCACGATGGGAGAGCTCGGTGAATTGTGTGACTGACGCGTTCGTGACATGAAAATCAGTGGTGTTGCGTTACACTAGCGGCCGTTGAGAGTTTGTTTATAAGGCTTTTTGCGGGAATTTCAATACCATTAGGAGATTCAACTGGGAAGTTATCAAATAAAGATTGTGAAGAGCTATTTGACATTTTGTTGGCTCGTTTAGACAAACAGCTAGGCAGCAGGGTACCAAACGAAACTTTCTTTTCCTTATTATTCAAATTACCAGTTAAAATACGGCAACATTTCCTGAACTTGAATAATTCCCGTGTTAAACTTTTTAACATATTCCGAATAGACATCAGCATAACGCAGCACCATTGTTGTTCAATAGTCACGAACGTTTCTATCATATGATTTACCGAGTTCTCGTATCGTGAGCTTTGGTAAGTCTTTGATTTTCCTTGAGAAGCAAATTTTTATAGTTAGCCTTCGTGTTTAGAATCACAACTTTTTGTTAGTTTCTTTCACGGACCACTATTTCAGAATGGATTGTCTTTTAAAAAAATTTCTCAGCCAAAAGCGATTTTAAAAAGTTTTTCTTCGAACCAGAATTTGAAAAAAAAAATGTTGCTGCTAAGGTTTTGTTGAGTTATTTCAAGCGTATTCCATCGAGTTAGTTTTGTACAAAATCAATCACTTGTGTTTATTAAACGCGTTCTAAAAATTGTCCTGACTGCCTAAATTTACTCTCAGGGTGAACCATGTTAAAATTTTAAATTTTCCCGCCAAAAGACTTACAAAAAGAATACGGGCGCTTTAAATACGCATGCGCCAATTTTTTTTCTAAAAAATTTCTTTCAACCCTTGTCGAAAATATTTATTTTCCCGCCAAAAAACTTAGAAAAAATACGGGCGCCTAAAATACGCATGCGCCGTTTTTTAAAATTTTTTTCTTATAATTTTAACTACTGTGTATTATTATTACTGTTAACTTTAATTCAATAAAGTATTATTTTATTCTCTCAAGAAAGGTAATGAATACAACACTCAAACTTGTTTTTTCTTCTTTTGTTTGTTTTATTGACTTCAAATAACTTTAATTGAATAATGACAAGTGAATAAGCTACAACTATTCCTTAATTAGTTTAATGAAATTCAATTAAATTAATTACAAAGGTGTCATCAAAAAATTTGCCCTATATATACTAAGACCTTTGGCGGGAAAATTTGAGATAATTTGCACAGCGTCTCCCCTGACAACTTTTTTGACAAACATTTTAAGGGGGTACCCCCTTGAATTTTTCCCGCCAAAAAAATTTNAATTTGCACAGCGTTTCCCCTGACAACTTTTTTGACAAACATTTTAAGGGGGTACCCCCTTGAATTTTTCCCGCCAAAAAAATTTAACATATACCATCTTGAACACAAACTAACGAAAAATAGTTGATTCCAATCATTCGAGTTTTTCAAACAACTAAGATTTTGAAGCCAGTAAATTTTAGTTTGTGTTCAATATGGTATATTCCATGATGATATCTTGTTAAATAGTCGGCCGTAAAAAGATGGGAAGCTACAAAGCTATTTACAAAAATGAGAAGAGCAAGTTAAAATTCCTACAACTGCACCGGTTCTACACCACACTGAGAAGGAAAAACATTTTTAAATCGAAATATTTAAGAAAGTTTATATAGCTGGGTAACTTGCGCCCCAACTACATAAACTCACTTAACTATAGCGATTCTAAAATGTCGCGACCCTCTCAATGTTGTGCAGAAACGTTGCAGTTGTAGACATTTTAACTGGCTCGTCTCATTTCTTTATATAAATTTCTAGCTCCACGCCATTCACAGCTTAACTATTTATCAAGATATCATCTTGCAATATATTTCAAGGAGATAGCAGAGGCAAGCCATGAATCCGATTGTTCCTATACGAAATAATGATTAAAAAAACCCAGCGAAAACTTTAGAATAACTTTAGAACTTCCGTCACTTTTAGTCGAGATGAAAAGGCAAAACCCGACAAATTATTGGCCAATTAAAAAAATGTGTTCATGGCTTGCTTCGTTATCTTCTAGAAATTACTTCCAGCGGGGTGTTGAAGATTAATGTCTGGTTATCAAGCTTCAAAACGTATCACTATAAACCTT